TGTGGTGGCCCGATACAAGTATGGGGTTGCATGCTAATTTGCCATTAATCAGAAAGTTTACGTTTTGTTTTCAGCAACACCACAATCCTTTTCCCCCTTTTTTTTTGTTTTATGTTGCTTTGTTGTTGTTGTTGTTGGCTATCGCATTACTTGACGTTTGTACACATAGGTTTAGGGCACAGTGGCAGATTGGCCAGCACACTTACAAACGCAAAGAGAGACTCGGAAGACTTGAACTCACACCCGTCGCGCTGCGGTGCCGTTAACTTGGTCCTTCTGGTGCGGTGTCACGGATGAACACCATAACACGTGATGCGCGGGAGCGTCTGGCCCGCGAGCACATTGAGAAGGCGCGATCGCTCAAGAATGAAACCACGGAACAGATGGAAGAGGTGATGCGGCACCTGACGTTGTCCATCACGTACAACCCGCTCTTCGTCAACGCCCTGCTGCTGCGTGCCCACCAGGCGGTGCGCCTCACCCGCTACGACGTGGCCGTCGCGGACCTCTCGATTGTAATTCAGCTCGAGGAAAACGGCTTCGATCGCCGCCGCCTCGCCGGGGCGTACGGCACCCGCGGAAACGTGTACCGCAAGATGAACAAAGTTGCAGATAGCATCGTCGACCTCTCACGCGCCGTAGAGGTGGAGCCGGACAACGGCACCTGGCTCTATGAGTTGGGCCTCGCGTACTCCATGCAGGGCAGCAGGGCACTAGCGCAGCACTTCTTTGCGAGTGCACTAGTCGATAAAGTTGCCGGCCGCATGACGGACATTGTGCGCTTCCGCGCGCTTTCATGTCTCGGCACGTGCAAGCTGAACGCGGGAGACATCAACGGCGCCGTGACGGTGCTGAACAAAGGCCTTGAGATACAGGAGACGGCGTCGCTGCACAACTTGCTTGGAATCACGTACTTTACACGCGAGGAGTACAAGGTAGCGTTGCAGCACTTCCAGCGGTCGCTGGAGCTTGACTGTCTATGTAGCGAGTATCACATCAACCTCGGCGCTTGCCTCTTCCAGTTGGGTCTCATGTCGGAGGCGCTGAAACAGTTTGAGGACGCCGTGCTGAAAGGCACCAGACAGGCGCTGCACCACTTCTTCCGTGGCAACACGGCGCTTGTGCTCGGTATGCACCCACAGGCCCTTATAGATGTGGACGAGGCGATTGCGCTGGACCCCGCGCGGGAGGCACATCACTACGCCAAGGCGCTAGCTTTCATTGCGGAGGGAAGGCACGATGAGGCACAAGCCGAACTCAACACCACAGTGGAGCTGAATCCTGCCTTCCACAAGGCGTGGGTGCACGCTGGCCTGCTTAACTTCCTGAAGGGTGAGCTATTTGCCGCACTCAACTGCTTTGCGCAGGCGCTGGAGCTCAAGGAAGCGGACCATCTTGTGCATGAATCCATTGGCCTCGTGTACTACAGCCTCACCTATTACGACCTCGCGGTAGCCTCCTTCACGCGGTGCATCGCCCTCCGCCCCGAGGAGGCATCGTTCTACTTCCGCCGTGGCGCGGCGCGACTTGTGCAGGGTGATATCCACGGCGCCTACCTCGATCTGCACGAAGCAGTGCACGAGCGCAAATTCCGTGAGCCGCAGGTGCTGCATTGCCTTTCTGTCACCCTTGGCCAACTAGGTAGAGACGCGGAGGCTCTGGAATTCTCCAATGAGGCAGTTCTGCTTAATCCCAAGAATTGCCGATATCTGCTTCAGCGGGCGGAGTGCTACTACGCAGTTGGGAACTATGCACAAGCTGTTGAAGACGCCTCGACAATTGTCCTCCTTGGAAGCAAATGTGCGGAGGTGTACTACCTGCGGGCACGTTCGTACTACGCACTGCGCCGTTTTAAAGAGGCACCTGAGGATCTTTTGCAGGCAGCTTCCCTGCAGCCGTTGCTGCGCGACAGCGCTGACTATTGCTACGCCCTCGGGGTCGCGTACCTGCACGCGGGGACGAACCAGCATGAGGCAGAGGCCGTGTTCACGAAGGCGATCCAACTCCACCCCAAGCCACCGGCGTGTTTCTTTGATGATCGCGCCACGGTGCGGGAGCAGCTTGGTGACACTTTAGGGGAGCTGTCGGACCTCGACGCGGTGCTGAAGAACGATCCCAACGACCCCAATGCCCTGCTGCGCCGCTCCTTGGCCCACAAGGCGCTTCACCGGTATGAGGCGGCGGCGAGGGACTTTGAGAAGGCGAAGTCGCTTGACGTTGTCGGAGACGTGCTGGCAGGAGTGCCGTACGAGAAGCTTTTTGACATCGACCACGTTGCATGGGGTGTGGAGGAGTGAGTTCCTTTCTGCGGGCTGCGGCTGCGGGCTGCGGCTGTTTGCTACCGGAAATGTACAGTGGGGCGCCGTTGGCGCTAACAGTACGCAATGAACGAAGGACGTTCGGCACGATGTTTTTCAGACTTGCTTCTGTTTCCTGTTTTGCTGCTACAACAATAAATGATGTCAGAAGAAAATAAACAAACAACAACAACAAAGAATGACTTTTGGTTCTGCACCTGTGAATGCGGCGNTTTTTTTTTTTTTTTTTGTCTCTGGCCTTTCTCTCTCGCACCCGCTTTGTCCATTTATGCCTGAAGAGAAACAAGAGGGCCTTCACCAAACCCTCGACACACACACACACACACAAACGCGCGAGACCCCACTCTTGTTCTTCACAACACCCACAGTCATCACATATATACACGTAGGCACAAGCACAAGGAATGCTGCGGTGCTGCAGCGTGGCCTTGTGCTCTGCGGTTCATATAGACACGGCCTTCCGGCGTTCGCTGGGATCGCAGAGTACGCTTCTCGACTTAATTCCCGTTAAGAAACCGCTTCTTGACGGATCACTCAGTTGGTTTGTTGACGAAAACATTGAGATCGTTCTTGTGTCTGGCGTGAAGGGCACCTCACCGGACGAGGTGACGAATAGCGTGAAGCGACGAGCTGTGCGTCTTCTTCAGCAGTGTGGTGACGACGATGCGGCCAAGGGCAGCCACGCGATCAGACGGTGCGTCGAGGAGGCGGCGACGGTGCGGAGGCTCCTTCGGCGCCTTGACCTCCAAGTGCGGCTGCGTTTGTGGAGCCAAGATGCCCTCACACACAATGGATCCGCGGCATCATCAGAAGTATCAGTAGCAACAGGAAGCTTCACTGGGGAGGAGGAAGAGACCAGTAGTGCGCTGTACTGCTCCATCTACGAGACTGACACATGGGAGCCGCATCAGCAGGAACGACATCTTGGTGATGTCTCGGCGGTGTTGTCCGTTCAGCCCCTCGGTAAGCTCCTGTGTGAGGCTCTGCAGGTGGTGCGAAGGAACGCGGAGGCGAAGGAGCGTCGTTTCGTCGCGGATTCATATCACGAAGCGTCTCTGGTCTTGTCCGCAGCTGCGGCGGACAGGGCCTTCACGGCTCGTGTATTTTCCTTAATGAAGGAACTAGTACCGTCCTTCACAGAGGATCCTGCAGCACGGTGGATTGCGTTTCCTGCATCCTACACCGTTGAATTTGATGTTGTGAAGTGGGACAATGATGAGACGGGCATTTCGAATCCCATGGCGGGATCGTGGGTGCTGTGCGATGATGTAGGGAACACGGAGATGCGTGATGTGCCGCTTGTGGTGCTCAAGGGCAAGACGGGGTTTGTGTACTATGAAGAACACCCCTCCTCGGCGCATCAGCATCCGCAGCATCTGCTGGAGGAGTCCAGGCTTGAACAGCTTGTGCACCTCGGTGCGATTGCCCGTGTTTCTACTCGGGGGAGTGGGAACTATGTGCCAGGCGTCATGCGTTCATTCTGGGCACAGCCACTCCTTCAGGCCTTGTTGCTGCTTTCCTCTGGTGAGTTTCTGTGCGGCCGCTTTGCCCCAACGCAGGTGGAGGATTTTGTTGGGAGCTGCGGGCGAATTGACGTTGATTCGTGGCTGAGCGATCGGGGAAAGCCCTTGACAGCCCCTCTGACTCCTTTGTATTTACAGCCCTTTAGTGCTGTGAAGTTCCTGCAGGAGTGCTTGCCGCTAGAGCTTGGAGGCAGAGCGTCGCTGACTGCTACGGTAGGCCCTCTGTGCTTTGGGTACTACGTGGCAGCTACGTCAGGGGGCCGTGTGGCGACAGCCACTAACTGTTTCTCTTCCGTCATGACGGCGCTGTCGATGCTGCTGCCATGGTATGAGGCGACGCCGGTTCGGCCAACCCTCACGGAGCACACAAATCACCAAGATCATCAGCAGCAGCCGAAGCAAGAGACAGATGCGGAAACCAGAAACCCGTCATCCCCGAAGGAGACTTTTCTAGGTCAATTGGATGACGCCAAACTGCTCGTTGTACACGTCATCGACGCACAGAAGACGCTGACGAAGTTGGGCGTGGCTTCGGGTGTTGTTAGGGAAGAGACGGTTGAGTATTTGGATGCCGCTGGCCGCCGGGTTCTGTTTTTTGAGCAGATGGACACACTGCCAGGCATCGAACGCCTGGTGAAGCGGATGCGGCGCAGCCCATGCGCGTGCTTCCTCTCTGTCACTTTTACAGACAACGCGAGGACGACGCGTGTGGTTTCGTCCCTCGCATTCGGTGGGCCTGTACCGCCGAAGCCGCCGCCGTACGTGAAGCGCATTCGCATTCCTGTTCCGTTGGTCCCCGGCGCGTTCTTCTCGCTGCGCTTCACTGGCCTCTTCGACAAGGAGCAGAAGGAGCATGGCCTCCTGCAGATATTCGAGCGTTACGCGGAGGACCCCAAGCAGTGGCCGCTACGGCGTCCGTCGCCGTGCTTCTTCAACTGCTGGCGGCTGACGAGGGGCATTATCGATGCCATTACGCGCCACGACGCGCAGTTTCGCTACACGCTCGACCGCACGTTTGCGAAGGACGGCGGCGCGACGGTGACGCTGCGCTTCTACTCGGGCGAAGACATGACGCAGGAGACACTACTGCAGGAGAGGGAGCTTCTGCCGCACGCGCGAAGGTGCTTCGCGGAATACGCCGCGCGGTGGTCTGTGGATGTGCCGCCTGCTGAGACTGTCTTCTTTTCGTTGCAAGAGATCAAGAAGACTATGCCGTTATCGTGCAGGAGCTTCGTGGGGGCATTGCTGCAGAACAGCGAGGCTTGCATACAACGCGGTGATGGAGTGTATTTGGAGCTTCAAATCACCGCCGACGTGAAGGTGCTTCTCGCTTTCAACAAGAAGGGCAATAATGTTGAGGGGGCGAGGGAACTGATTAGCAGGACGTTTCTAGAGGAGCAATTTCCAATGCTTTACCCAATAACTGTACTATTACGGCAGGCACACCGCTTTTTATCGCTCAACAGTGGTGAGGGAGAAGGTGATTTGATGTTTAGCTGCCAAGATAACAGCGATGTGGGACGTGGCTACCGCTGGGAACTCCAGAGACATGCCAATCCTGCTGGTGCTGGTGCTAGTGGTGGTGGTGGTGGTGGTGTGTGTGTGAGTGTGCTGGAGGCTGCGGAGGGGCCGTCACGTCTGGGCGCGTTAACTGCACTTTTGGAGAAGCTTGATCCCCACGCAGCCGAGGCCGCGGCCGACGATTCTGCTGGAGTGGTGGAGGAAGTACCTGAAGCAATGGGAAGAAGAAGAACAAAATCAGTTGTCAGGGCCTTTATCCAGACTGCGCAGCCGCAGACAATTGAGGAGTACCAGGCGGCACTTGCCTTGCAACGCGGTGCAAAGAAGATTCTGCACGCATACAATGCGACTCTCAGCATGTTGTTAGTGAAGAGTGTTGACGACGGTGGGCACGGAGAGGCGCAGACGGAGACTGTCATCCGTGCCATTCCGCTCACCTGCGAATTCCCTATTGGTGCCGTCGTGCACCAGTACTACCGCAGGGAGCTTCGCCTTCCCGTCCCGCCCCCGCCGCTGGACGCCAATGCGCTGCGTCAGCTGAGCCTGGTGAATATTTACTCCACATGCCAGTCGAACTTCGTGGAGCAGCTGCCCCCGCTTAACGAGGCGCTCAAGGTGAGTCAAACCCGAAGGGGGTGGTGTGCGGTGCTTCGTCTGCCGGGGCGTCTCTTTGCACTCGACGCGCCGTCACACGTGGAGTTTGTGTTGCAGAGGCGTGGAAAACATGAGGCGAAGCGGGACGTTGTCTGCCAATTCTTCCATGCACTCCACGGCCCGACACCTGCGGAACTTGCGCAGGTGCTCTCAGAGGCAATCTGCAATGATCCGCCGCCTTGTATTAGCTCTGAGGAAAAAGACGCCAGCAGGAGCCGTAGCAGCAGTTGTGGTACGGCGGGGCCGGTGACGTCTCGGGGCAAGGACGCGTGTATGTACGACGAACTTGTGCGGCTGGTGGGCGCGAGCCTCCGCACGCTTGTGGGCTACGACGGCGCGGTGGAATTCCGTCTGAGTTTCATCACCGGCATCAGTGCCCGCTACGTCTGCTCCCCGCCGTGCAACGGGGATTCTGTCGAGCTGTTTCACGCGCCATTCCACCCGACACTGTGGCTGCCGCTGCAGGTCCTTGAGACGCTCGTGTCGTGTGCCCGCCGGCTTGTGCCCGAGGCGGATTTGGAAGCGTGCCTGTTGCGTGGGGCTGCTGCGTGGCCGTCCCTCTTCCTCGACACAGCACGCAACGAGCGTCTCTTCTGCACGACGTTCCTGCGCCGTTACCTTGGGCTGCGCACGTACGAGGAGAACGACGTGGACGAGTGTGCGGCAGTGCCGGGCACGATGTACGCCGTTGAGCGCACACAGTGTGTTTCGGCGGGGCGGTTTGAGGCGTCGCTGCTCTTGCTGCAGACACCGCGGCCGCCCATCACGACAACCTTCACAAAAGTTCTTGCGTCGCACCTCAGCTCATCACCGCAGCGCGCGGAGCTGGAGTTGTGGCGCGGCGTCGCGCAGCGGTTGGCGCAGCTGCACGAGTCCCGCGCGCAGGAGGGCGTCGACAGGGCGGTGCTGCGCGCCGTCAGCGTCCCTGGTGTTGGCGCCACACGCTAGCCGCAACGGGCGTGGCAAAGGCTGCGGCAGACGAAATGAAAACCTGGCTGGGTTGCATTGAACTGTTGTACTTGTCTTGGTGAGCCAAGGCTCCTTCTGTGATACCACGCCTCTCTTGTGTTCTTTTTTGTTCTCTCTCTTTTTTTTTCCCCGTGTGCGTGTTGGTGGAGAGAGAGAGAGAGAGAGAGGGGGGGGGGCGTGTGATGTTCACGGAGGGAGAACTGGGGGAGTTGGCGCTTGTCGACCTTGACGACGACTTTGTGGAGGCCAATGTGCGTAGCAGGAAGTTCGACGTGGAGTTGGGTCGCCGCGTCGTACAGGGCGTCTGCGACGGCTTTGTGCAAACGTTTCTTGCCGACGACGACGTGGCAACGCTGCACCGACAGCTGTATGAGTGCGACGCGTCCCTGGCCGACATTGAACGTATTCTTCGGCAGTTTATCGTCAACCTGGAGACCATTCAGAAGGACATTGGCGATGTGCGGGAACGGCTGAAGCGTGTGGGTGTCCAGCTCGTCAATGCGCGGGCGGCAGAGCGCGTCGTGTGGGGCGCCATGTCGCGTTGTGTAGTGCCACCAGAGGTGGTGCGTGTTATTGTGCAGTGCAGCGACGAGGAGCTGGGGCCACAGTTCATGCTGAGTGCGCAGCAGCTGCTGCAATTTCTGCAGGACCGCAGGGAGGGCAGCTGCCGGATTGGCGCCGGTGTGCCACCCGTCTCGCTCACGTCGTGCCGCCTGTACACGGAGCAGCTGGAGATGCTGGACCGCCTGACCGTCCACGCGTGCGTCAAGATGAAGCGGTTCCTCACCAAGAAGGTGGCGCTTCTCAGCGTGAAGAACACAAACGTGTCGATCCAGCAGGAGCACGTGCTGAAGCCGTATGCTTTCTACGTGCGCTTCTTGCGCTCTGCTGCGCCGCTGCTGCGTCACTCGCATCTCGCCAATGAGCCCAATGCGGAGTCGCCTGCATATCTACCGCTCCGCATTGCCAAGGCGCTCTACGATGAGCTCTGCCGTGCGTATTGTGACACCATGTCACGCCTTTACCTCGCCCGCATCCGGCAGTATGTGATGACGCTTAACTCTATGGAGAGCTCGACGCAGACGGTGCACCTGGTGCCGACGCAGGCGTACGTGCTGCCGTTGCTCACCGACGCACAAGAGGCGACGCCGCTCTCGACCTTTGCGCTCGGCGATCGTGGAGACATACTGGAAGATGTGACTGCTCTACCACTAGTGCCGGCAGTGGAACGGGCGAGGCGGCGGCGCCACTTCTACGAGGAAACGTTCCGCTCAATGAATGTTCTGCTCTGTGATGCCGTCACGCATGAGTTCCTCTTTACGTTCATGTTCTTCTCCGGCGATATGTCTGTCTTTGTCGATGTGTTCAAGCCGACTATTCAGTTCGTTGTTGACTACGTGGCGGAGGTTATGCTTGACCAGGGCGATGGCTCGGTGCGGCGCATGTTGCGCGATGAGTATCCGCAGGCGGCCGTCAACGCCAACTGCCGCTTTGACTGCTATGGTCTGCTGCTGCTGATCCGTCTCTGTCATGACTTCCGTTCCCTCATGAAGGATGTGCGGCGGCTTAGCTGTCTGGAAGGATTCTACGACTCACTATTGCTGCTTCTTTGGCCAGCGTTTCAGCGGACGTTCGAGCGGCAGATGTTGGCGATACGGTCGGCTGACGTCGCAGTTCTTGCACGTGTTTTAATGAACGACGATGGCCACCGCACCGCGGCGTGGGTGGCGCATGTACATCCACTGGCGAAGCGGTACGCGGCTTTCACCACCGCCCTCATGACGATCAGCCGTGGCTGCGGTTTTGATGCAACGGACGCCGTGGGTGAGGCATCGCTTCTTGCGACTATGACAGAGGGCGGCGGCGGCAGTAGGGGTCACAGCAATGATTACAGTTTCGCAGAGCTGAGGCGCCTGGCGTGGTGTGCGGTGGAGGCGGAGCGTGCGAGTGACGCGGCGGACAGCGCGTCACGCTTTGCTGTTCTGGCTGGTAACCTCTCCTTCATGCGGGTGGAGGTGGTGCGGGTGCTGCAGGAGATGGGTCGTCACCTCGCCACTGGTGACGCAAAGCGTCCCGAGCTCCACGAATTGTACGTCCTTGCCTTTCTGCTGAACAATCTGCACTACATCCTCTCCGCCTGGCGTGTGGCATTTGATGCCAGCAAGAGCGATGATACGGTGGAATCCAACGGGGATGATTATTCCACCCTCAGCGAGGACTACCGAGCGTTGGATGAACTCAAGAAGTCACGCCGCGGAGATCTTGTGGGGCGTCTTGTGCTGCGGTATTTTGCGGCTGTCTACAACGTTGTGCAGTGCGACGAGATGCCTGAGCGGAGTCCTGCGGAGGTGCTGGCGACCGCAGACGCCTTCACGCAGAGTTGGAAGAGTGGGCTTGACGACGTGTGCAGTACGGTGCGTGCGATGCTCTTCGAACCCGCGCACGTGAGCGAGGTCCTGGCGCAGGTGTGCATGGACGTCCTGCTCTGCAACACGCGGTTCCACGCGTGCGTGTCGCGGGCGCTGGACAATATGGGCGCTGAAGAGACACGCCGTACCCTTCGCTCGTATGTGGTGACGAACCAACAAATGCTGCAGTACATGCGAACCCTCGCGACAATGCCGGAAGACGAAGAGGAGGAGGAAGAGGAGGATGAAGGTGGGGCGGATCTGTGACATTGGCACCTGCGGCGCGTGAATAGTTGTTGTTGTTGTTTTTCTCTTCGTTCTTGCATGGCATTTATCAACAAGCAGCAACAATTGCGGTGGAGACGTTCATCTCTCACTGGAGCTGATACTTTGCAGGCGCACGGAGAACGTGCGTGTCATGTTGCTTTCCTGTGGAGATCGTTGTGCATTTTTTTCCCCCCTTTACCCTATTTTTTGCTGCGGTGGTTGTGTTGGCCGCTGGGAGGTGTCCATTGGGACAAGTACGTTATTCCGCACGCGTGTGGAGTCAGTGTGTGTGCCTGTGTATATTAGTTCGGAGCCGCCAGGGGGACTGTGAGGCGGGTGAGAGGAAGGGCGTAGAGAAGTAATTGGATTTGCGGCATCCCAGTCTTCATCTATGGACCAGATGAAGTTACTGCAGCAGCGCTGGGCGGACATGCCACAACCACGTAAAATCAAAGCGCTGCGTGTTGTGGTGTTCGTGTGCTACTCCCTTGCGCTGCTGTTCTTCGTCATTTACGCCTTTGGCGGCACGACGAAGCGGGTGAGTGAGCCGATGCCAGTGGTGCTGTTCATGGAGTCCATGCCGGGCGGCATCATGGCGTTACGCTACTTGGCAAAGCGCGCGGACGTCTTCATCGCTATGATCGTGTTGGCAACGGACGCGTGGAATGTAAACCTCAACGCCGCATACGACAACACCGCTGCGTTCATTGCGATGATGCGGAAGGAAGGTGTGCTGCTGTACGACATACCCATCTACTACGGCAACAGCGTGGCGCAGGCAAACGCCCGCTTTGATGAAGATGTTTCTTTCACTTCAATAAATGTGTCACATAACACGACGTCCTGTACGTACCGCCGCGTCCTTGATCCAAACGTTCTGCTTGATGCGGATCGTTTGTTCGGCGCGTCGGATCTCCTTGATGGCGTGCCGATCTCCGCGCCCAGGAACAACAGCGATGGCAGTACTCTCAGCGGTCAGATGGAGTTCTTTGACGTGCCGCTGTTGCACTACTTGACGCGCCACACTGCGTCGTTTCTGGTGTTGGGGCCGTCGACAGATGCGGCGTGGTTCCTGCAACAGCACCCCGACCAGCGGTCACGTGTGTCTCTTGTCATTATGGCCGGCGGCGTGATGGGTGCCGATGGCGACACGCGTCTCGTGTACCCGCCGAACCGCCGCTCCGAGCTTCACATGTTTTTTGACCCACACGCGGCCAACTACCTCGTGAGCGGCGCGCACGGCCGGCAGGTGCTGCTGCTGCTGCTTGACGCCGCCCCGAAGTGGCCGGCGCCGCTGTACGAGTCCCTCATCGTCGCCCGCGCCTCGTCGTCGGCGGCCACTTCCGCCAATGTGGTGGCGCATGCCGTTAGCGGGTTCAACAGGCGGTTCGCTGCGGAGCTGCCGCTGCCGGTAGAGGTCGCGACGGCAGCCTATTTCGCGGATCTCCACATCCGCGGTGGTGTGACAGTGACGGAGGTGCCGCTATTAGTCGCCAATGGTGTTGCGATGGCGACAGACGGCATGCTCGGTACTCCTGCCGACGTACACAAGCAGCCGACCGGCCTAAAGGTGAAGGCGGTATTGAAGCTCCAAGAGGGTACGTTTTGGTCGCGGTTCGAGAGGGTAGACAGGCTCACTCTGTGAGATGTGCAACACCACATACAACTGCCCTTCTTTATTTTTCCCAGTCTCTGCAGCATTTAATGCTCTCGCCTGTTGCAAGGAGAGGGGAGGGAGGAGCCATTGAGCGTATTTCAAGGCGGTACTCCCTTTCTTTATTGAGTGCTCCGTTTTGTGAAGTAGTTGTAGCGCTTACTGCTTGCATGTTTAAAAACTTTTTTTTTTTGGGTGCTGTTGTTGTTGTTGTTGGTGCAATTTCTTGTGGCTCCTTCTGATCTCTTCGCTGTTGCTGGTGTAACTGCCTTTCCCACTTTTGCGCTCTCCCAACAACAACAACAACAAAACAGCATAAGTGCGTTAATAGGGAAGAGGCAGCCGACTTCCTTAAGTGTTATCCGCCAATCAAAGAAATAAAGGATACGAGAAGTGCAGCCATCACACAGCGCGGCAGTACACACCAGCAGAGAGGGTGTGAAGGGCCACGCGTAACACAAGAAAAAAAGATCGTCCCTTCTTATATCGCCCGCGGTAAGGACGAGAAAGACGTGTGTGATAGATTCACTACGCAGCTATACCGCCTTTACACCGCCAACATCTCACGACGAGAGTCTGCAGCAGAGTAACAATAGACGTGGACACGAGGTCACCTAAATCTTCACTGTGTGATCCACCCCGTAAAATAGATAGATCAACGCTCCCATGAACAGCAGCAATAGCAATGCCACTCTTCGGGCTCTAGACATAAATGTGCTGCCCTACCCTCAAGGGAAGGGCTTGCCCTTGCCAATGCCACGGGCACTGATGCGCGGTGACAATGAACAGCGTGTCTCAAACCGTGCGGTTGGCGGATGTGGCGCTGCAGGATCGAATGTGCCGTTGAGTTATGGAGAACTACAGAGGGGACTGCGCGATGTGTTGTCTCACGTTGAGCTTAGGTGTGACGGCGACGCGGAAGAACGCAAACTTTTTCTTCTAAATGAGTTTACACGTCTGATGAACGCCGCATCCGAGGAGACGCGGCAGATGTTGATCCCCACCCAGAATGACTTACCTCTAAGTTTTCGCGTGCTGGAGGTGCTGCATTCCCGCCGGCGGGTCCTCTGCAGAGGATTTGAACTCACCCTCAACGAACTGAAGGAGTGGCTCTCGCTGGCAACGCTGATTGGCGAACAGGATGTGGCGCAGTTCTTGGGGCAGTACGCACGTGAATTGGGCCCCGCCTCGCGGCAAAGTGTGGAGGATGCTATATATATACACCAGTCGAATGTGGCCGCTCTGTGTGGTGCGGTGCTTGAGATCCCCACCTTGACGGGCACCTTCTCTCCATTCAACTCCCACTACTACACCATTGTGCTGGACGACTTGATCTCAATGGCCGACGAGGCACCGCAGGCGACGTTGCTCCAGTCTGTGCAGCGCGAGGTAACGCTGGAGATGCGCGAGATGCACGTGGAGTGGCTGCTTCAGGTCACCTTGGCGTCCAATCTTCAGCTGGAGACGTTCTTTCTTGCTGTGTCTATTTTTGACCGGTATTTGTCGAAGGTGAGTGTGCCGCGCGAGCGTCTTCACCTCGTCGTCTGCGCGTCGCTGTTGTTGGCATCAAAGCAGGAGGAAATATTCCCTGTCCCGCTGCGCACTCTGGTGCGCTACGGCGGCGACCGCTTCTCACTCGAGATGTTGGTGGCGATGGAGTGTCAATTATTCGCTACGCTTGGCTTTAATGTGGTGTGCCCCACATTCAGCGCAGTAGGATTGGGTCTGCTGTTGCAGCAGGATCCCCCTGCCAGCGAGCAGCAGCGCTTTTTTCTTCTTTACACCCTCGCGACTCTCGCCATTCGCACACACTTCCGGCAGTGCAGACTCTCGTCGCTCGCCGCCGCCGCTGTGTACTTGGGCCGTGCAGTGTTCAACATCCCATCGGGGATGCCGAGCGACGAGGTGCGGGCATTGCTGCCGCTCGTGATGGCTGCTCTCTGCCGCAATCCCGCCGTTGGCGCTGGCGGCGTCTACGACATATTCGGAAGGAGCGCCTTCTGCGAAGTGAGTAAGCTGAAGCTTCCGGAGATTCTGTAAGAGGAGGTTTATGAGTGACGACGGAGAGGAACGAGCCATACTAGATGCTCTCTCTTTCTGTGTGTGTGTGTCTGTCTGTCGTTGTTGGTGGAGGGGGGCTACAGGGCATTGTGCTGTATGCGTCTGTGTGTGTGTGTGTGTCTGTCGGCTTGCATGCACGTGCCTCTCTTGTGCCGTGCGCCCGTTCACCGACCCCCGCATGGCAGCCTTCTTGTGGTCTTCCACTCTCTTTCTCTCTCTCTCACACACACACACTCACAGACACACAGCGAGCGAGTGAGAGAGAGTGTGTGAGAGAGAGAGAGAGAGAGAGAGACTGAGCAGAGGAAGGCGAACATATATTCTTACTCCTTTCCTCGGCGTGTGGCCGTCTTCCCTGCGCCGTTTGGGGCGTCTGCAATAGAGCACTCTTTCGCACCGCCGTGTGGTGGAAGTAAATGTTGATCGCCTTCATTTTCCTTTGTTGTTTTTGTTTTTTTTTTAAATTTCGTTTGTTTTGTTTGTTTATAGAGCGCAAAAATGCACGCCCGCGTACACGAGAGGGTGAGGCGAGAGGGGAGCAACAGAGGGAAGGTGGGACGCATGCGCCCTCGTGTTTGTGTGCGTGTGTGTCTGCTGTGCCGCTGCGTGGAGAGGAGTGGGGTAAACACACCGCCACGGCAGCAGCGGCAGCGGCAGCGGCGCCAAAGAAATGTAACAACGTGAACGCCTCCATTGAAAATGGGTGTTGGGCGCATGCGTACGCGTGCGTCTGTCTGTGTGTGTGTGTGTCTGTGTGTCTGTGTAGTTTTTTTTATTATTATTATCTTCCCTCTTTTTCATTTCCTTTTTTCTTCGCGTGTGTGTGTGTGTGTGTGTGTGTGCGTGGCTTTGTGCCTCCCGCAGCGCATGTGCTTCTGTGTTGATTTTTTTTTTGTTCTTTTTTTGTGTGTTTTGGCTTTTTTTTTGTTCGTCTGCGCGTACGCCCCTCACCGCTGCGGCTGCAGTGAGACCCTCACGCCCTCCTCCGACTAGATACACGCACAATCACGCACGCACGCACGGGGCAACTTCCCCCCGCCCCGCACACACAATCACACACACCGAGGCAAAAGGAAGAGGAAAAAAGCAAAAAAAAAAACGGGTCAGAAAGGAAAGCAAAGACTTTATTTTTGTGTGTTTCTTCCTTCTTCATATAAATGCTTTCTTCCCCCAGACATCTTTCTTTTTTTTTTTTCTTCTTATTTTTCTTGTGCCGTCACGTTACGGTGTGGTGGGCGCAACCCTCTTGCATCGCGGCAGAGACACGCGAGAGGGGTGGGGTGCCTGCGCCGGACCGCTCTTTTCATCTGAAGCCAAGCCGACGCAAAAGACAGCAGTGAAGACGAATTGTAAAGGACAGAGTACAATCTGGGCTTGAAGCAGGGATCGCCACCGCACATGAACAATAACGGCAGCTGCAATAGGGTTGCCTCAAGTGATAATGTGTGTGTTTTGGTTCAGATTACCCCCGTCCCTCTACTGTCATCGTCCCTGTGCTCCTGCACCATCTATACACATCTCTCTTCTGGTGGTTGTGGTTGTGGTTGTGGTGTCTGTGTGTGTGATTGTGTACGATTGAATGGTGTGTAGTTCCTTGCGCTTCCTTCTGCCCACTTGTGGTTTTCGATCTGACACAGGGTCATCTGTGGACTGCGAAAAGTATACGAAGTAAGCGAATATTCATCAGGGTTGGTGCGCACATCATGCCGGAGGCTGTGATCATTGACGGTAAGGCGATTGCCGATGCGATACGTGCGGAGATAAAGGCGGAGGTGGACCAACTGAGTGCCACACACGGTGGTAAACAACCAGGGCTCTCAGCAATCATCTGTGGTGAGCGCAAAGACTCGCAGACGTACGTGCGGCTGAAGGCGAAGGCGGCGGAGGAGTGCGGCTTCGCAAACTTCAACGTCAGCCTGCCGGCGAGCGTAACGCAGGAGGAGCTCGAACGTGAGGTGACGAAGCTAAACCAAAATCCGGCGTGCCACGGCATTATCGTTCAGCTTCCTCTCCCAGACCACATCGACCCCAACGCCGCACTGGGGAAGATTGCGCCAGAAAAGGACGCCGACGCACTGCTCCCCATCAACGTGGGGCTGCTACACTTCAAGGGTCGCGAGCCGCCCTTCCTGCCGTGCACCCCCGCCGGCGTTATTGAGCTCCTGAAGCGGAGTGGTGTGACCATCAGTGGAAAGCGGGCGGTCGTGCTTGGGCGCAGTAACATTGTTGGTGCACCGGTTGCAGCTCTGCTAACGAAACACAACGCTACCGTCACTATTGTCCATTCTGCTACCCCGCTTGAGGACATTATTGATATTGTCAAGTCGTCTGACATTGTGGTGGCGGCAATGGGGAAGCCGGGATTCGTGCAGGGTGAGTGGATCAAGGAAGGCGCCGCTGTCATCGATGTTGGTACAACCCCTGTCGACGATGCGACGAAGAAGGCGGGGTATCGCCTCGCGGGGGATGTGTGCTTCGAGACGGCGCGGCAGCGTGCCAGTTGCATCACGCCAGTGCCGGGCGGCGCTGGCCCCATGACCATCGCAATGCTGCTGAAGAACACTCTTGCTAGCTTCAAGAGGAGCCTTGACGTGGCTTAATATACCGAAAGACAACAAAAGGCAAGGAAAGGGAACAAGGACATATATATATATATATATATATA